TGTAGGGACACTAGCTCGAACCGGCTAAACCGCGGCGCAGGGTACCCTGCACTATGAGCGTGTAAGGTCCACTCCTGTCTGGGGCCAGTCCCACAAACTTGCGAACCAGGGCCTGTCCATCCTCTCCTTCACGTGCTCGCAAATGGTGGCCACGTAAGCAGTTGGAACAGTGCTATGCCCTGGGCACCATACTGTCAACCGTGGCCTGAAGAGAAACGTCAGGGATTGAAGCACACTCGTTCCAACAACCAAGTAACTCCCACTTGCCGGAGCTACCCAATGCGACAGTTTTCGAAAGACTCTCCCCCCTGCGGAGCTTTCGGCACACAACTGAATCAGTGCGATACGGGGCTCCAATGAGGTTTGGCTTCATCGGTTGTCCCTCTTCAACTGGTTCTTCCGTCATTGGCATCCGCACACCTTCTTGTCTGTCCTGTCTTTCTCATCGTTCGTTTGTTCCTTTTGCGTGCACATGTGCTCTCGCAACCCCCTTTCCAGGCAGGATAGAGGTGCCTCCTTTTCGGTCAGGATCGAGGCTGTACTATTTATTGCCTCCCTTCAGGAGGCGTGTGTACACCCTGGACTCACGGTTGCCTTTTTCGATTCCAATAGCAGGGGGCCAGGACTCCCTGGCTCGCATCCTGGCCAAGGAAGACCGGCGCAGGGAGGTGAAAACGTACCTGCTTTGGTTAAACTGTTGATTGGTTGCTGTGGTCTTCTGGTTTGTATCTGGTTCACGTAGCTGATGTTGTTTTAGTTGATGTGCACTCGCCGCGCGGTCAACGATTGTCGTGATTTTGGAGCTTGCACCTTGAACTTGGAGTTTGGAAACTTGAAACTTGAGATTTGGTGGAGACCCCTAACTTGAGATTTGAGAATTGTGGAGACTTCTTTCTTGAGGTTTGGACCTCCTTGCATCGTATCTGGTTTAACTCAGGCCCTTTTTTCACCAAGGTTTCTTCTAGGCTTTGGCGGCCTCCGTACGCACTACCTATCTGGAGTGTGTGTGTGTGTGTGCGTCTCTATGCATTCCCCGGCCCGAGAAGCCCTCTTTCAGAAGTGTGCAGATGGCTGTCAGAGATCCTTTTCTGACTTCGCCCCTATGGCCCATATGGCCCTATGGCATAATACTGCTATGCAGGGCTGATGAACCGACATGGCCCGTTGGAAGAGGCCCACCAGGCTTGGTGGAGATGAAGCCACGAACCCTCGGCGATGACAGTGAAGTCAGACTGCATCTGGCGTTTCCTGAAGGATCGCATCTAGCTCAACCAATGCCTGTCGGCATTGGGGACGAGAGGGGTAGATGCAGAGCTCTCCGGTTCAGTGCGTGACCAAACGATCTTTACGTCCAAGCTGTTTGTCAGTGCAACTGCTCCTTGTGCTTACGACCCTGTGCAAAGCAAGAGTTTCAAGATGTGATCTGTGCGCGATGTTTGGCTACGGTTGAATCGTGGAGACCAGATTGAAAAGCAATGAAGCGCCCAAATGTCCGGCGCTGATGCCAAATCAAAACCTGACGGCTGCCCTTAAACAGGTTGGGGCGGAGCCAGCAAACGCAAAACATCGTGCGCTAGTCACATCTTGAAGTGCTTGCTTTGCATTGGGTCTTCAGCATAAGGAGCATTTGCATGTGGACGGCTCGGATCTTGGAAGACCGGACTTTGGACGCTGAACTGAAGTGCTTCAAAGACCGCTCTTCAAGAATCGCTGGTAATGCACACATCTCCAGATACATCGAAGGACATACGAGAAAAAGTTTGTGCATTGTGTTTGTGGAGAGTTCCAAACGCTTTAAGTGTCTAGAACAATTGGGAACTAAGAGCTAAGAAGTAAGATTCTCGCCAGCCCCTCTGTGTATTCATATTCCTAGGACTGAGGAATACCAAGACTCCTGAGTACCTGAACTAAGATTATCCACAGCATGCAGCATGCAGTCTGAAGTATATAACGTATCGGTATATGGTTACCTCCCTCCTTCATTCAAAAATGTCTGTCACAAAACATGGGTAGAAACTGAGAAACTCCTAAGCACATGTCCCGGCACCCACGTTCCTCCCAATCATGCCATTGTAAGTACTGTATAAATAGAACCCTCTGTGATTAAAAGCACAAAGGATCACGGTGGCATCATCTTCAGTTTCTTGGCACCCCTGCATGCGGGCACCATCTTCGTAGCTACACTGGCACTGCTGCTCGCCCTGCACAGGGAATGCCCTTGCACTGTTTGTGCTAAGAACACATAGAGGCATAGCGTGAAGGAAACCATCACCTTCAACCCCTGGAAGCACGACTCAAACCTGTTTGTTCTGCCGAAACAGGGTATTTCCTGCTCAAACAGCCCAGCATTCTGTTCGTTAGTCTTCAAAGAGGTCTGACTTCTCGAATCAAAAAACGATATCCTTCTTTTCTGCACATCCCGACTTCAAATGCAACTCAACCGAGATGTCCATCCGCAACAAAGCCTCTCTCTCTCTCGAAGCCTGGCAGGCGAGGAACGTGTCGTTGGGGTGGACCTGGTGGTGGGCGTGGACCTTGTCGGGGTCGACCAAGTTGAGCAACCGCAAGGCGCTGCGCCCGTCAGCAACGTCTTCGGCGCGTCGCGCGCCATCCACAGTGACCAGCACCTCTACAATAGCAAAGATCATCTACAGTGCTCTCCGAAACCTTTGACAAATGCACAATTATCCTTCAATGACATGCTGTACTTGTCCAAATGAATATTTGAAACTTGTGACCTTTCTCAGGCTTACTGCGTCGCTTCAAAGGCACGATTCACAAAGGTGAAAGCCACAAAGCTTGCAGCTATGCCGCACAACGCCCTCAGTAAACACAAGGGCAGGAGGCCTTTGTTCCAGTCATAACGTGTACCAACACAAAACCCTCTACATGTTTTTGAGGGTGAGGTATGTTGGCCAGGGGGTAGGTGTACGATAGCTACTACTAGACAAGTAGTCGAAACAAAGCTATACTACATGCAAGAATCTGGAAGGATTTGATAAAAAATACCCTATTCTACAAGGCAAGCTATTTTCCATTGATACATAATACCATAATGTGATACATAGCAATCTAGGCAATCTAGATGCATGCGTGTATGCATCCGTAGTATAGGCCTGGTTAGATCCTGCACTCGTGACAGACCTAAAAAACATAAAGTGAGAAGCGTTAGACCATCTCTAAGGCATTTCCAAATATTAAAATGTATGGGACTCAGCCAACGAGTACAGCCCAGCTTCAGTCTTCAGTTGATCATTGCAGCGTACGCAGCGCTTGAAGTTGAAGCCAAGAAGGCCACCAGTAACCACCTTACTTCGCACTAAACTCAGAGTAGCAACTCATGGAAGAAGGAAGAATTTGAGTAATTATGCTGTGAAAATGGCCGGCAGCTTGGCCCCAATTGGGCCATCCTTCTATCTGATGTGTCAGTCTTATGGAGAGTTCAGCTGCATCCAATTACAGGAAGCAGTGTTTCTGCCGACACAGCCAACAATCTTGCTACACTCAGCTGGCTAGCTGACTGTATGTACCTCCTATCGAGAGTGCGCAGAACGAGAAAAGAACAGCAAGCAATGGAGCCAGCGCACCTTGTCAATCAGCAAATGGCCATCGGGGCACACATTCAGCACAACCCTTCCGGTAGTGCCTGTCAGGCAATATTGGATGACGAAGATCAATGAAAAGGCAATCTTGAAAGAATCTTGCTCACGAGTTCGTCTTTCCAACCCTAGATGAAGAAACACTATTCTGTCTTCCAATACTTTGAAATGCTGGAGTCCTAGATCCATTCAAGAAGACTCTGTCAAGAATGTGATAATCATTCTGTCTGCAGCTCACACCATCAGCCATGCTTCCAGAATATGTCAGAATACCAATGCACTCAATGCTTCTAAATAAAAGCTCTTCTACGAATTCAAGGGACCACTCCGCGCCACCAGCCGTCCACCATCCAAAGCCTGTGCACAGGCCATCCTTGCTGTAAACTGGAACTGGCGGCGGTGCCACCGTCCTGGCTCGTGTCAAGTCATAACACTGGCAAAATGTTGCCACATGCCAAAGAGCTAAATAGCTGCTAATAGCTCTTCTCTTCTACTAGTTACTAGTTGAACCAATCGTTGAAGATTTATGGCAGCCAAGTGGCATGGTTGCCGTCGCCATCGAAAATCAATGTTTCCCCCTTTCGGGATGTTCGCACTAGATGAGCCAAATGTTGCAATCCAATGAGAGCTGCTCATAGAAGAATCGTAGATGGCGCCTCTTAATGACAATCAAGGAACAAGGGACAAAGAAGCGTGTTAAGGTTTCACAACTGAAACGCAAAAAAACATCAAACATTTCTGGGAGTGTGCCTATGGGAATGGCTGCAAAAGTGAGAGCAATCAAACGACATGATTGTCCACTCGCCCTAAGGCCCTAGGATTGATTCCTGACCAATTTGCTTGGGTAATGGCTGGGCTTGAAACGGTTCAATACGGAGCTCATTTGCAACCCCACGCTTTCAAATTCTGTGTGTGTGTGTCAAATTCTGCTCATTTTGGAGGTCAGCCCTACATGAATCCCGGAATCCTGGCACGCAATCTTTGTCACCATGAACCCTTTGCGAGAGATACTCGGTATCAGTTTATGAAGCAGTCAAAACGACTCCAATGGTGTGTTTGGTATTTATATGATTATATATATATATATGTAGGATTGGTATGGTATGTTGAAAGTTTCGTTGACAAAACCGAAATGCAAAGTGGGATGGTCGCATCAAATCTGTCACATCCACATTGTTTGGTTAACATGGAGACCTGACACAGCCAGAACGGCTCTTGGTTCCAGCCATTGTGTCTTGGAAAAGCTTGCAGGAATCTCTCAGGCTTGTACCAGGGTGGTACCTCCTAATGCAGCTATTTGTGCTATCGGTGTAAAGAGGCACATGATCCCCATGCGGCTAGGACTTGGAAACAGCTTTAGAATGCTCTAGTCAAGAACTGGCACCAATCAAGTTCATTAGCATCAAAAGAATGCACTGCAAAGGGGTTCATATGCGCTAAACACGACACGCGTCGAACATGCATCAAATTTGCGGCAACTCACGGCGTTGCCACACGGTTCAGATTGACGGTGTTGATTCAATTATATAAGCCGAAGTTCCTCGGCTTTTCATGGCTCTGGTCTCAGCCTCAGCATGACTAAACTGAATGAGAATAGCCCTCATGACTCAAGAAATGCCCCAGCAAGAAGCCCTGTGTGGAGGCCAAATCCTTGACTGCAAATGAACAACATGGGCTAATTCATGACAAAGCATGTCCCCCTGTAGAGGCTTCACAGTTCAACAGCCACATGCTAGATTATGTTTAAAGTGGCTTCTAGCACGAACAGAACTAGGCTATTTCTCTGAGGATCATGCCAATCGTTGGAATCGGAGGCATCCCCACTTGGACCTCGGACGTTGTGGGAAAAGATCTCTAGATTGAAGCAGGTCTTTTTTTGAATGTGCAGTCGGACATGAAGCCTCCACACTCGACACATACTTATTTCTGGAGAATTGAGAATTGGCAAAGTATGTTGAAGGAAGCATAAAAAGCGATTTGCAAGCAAGTGTGTGCAGGAGAGTCGAAACAAAAGGAAGACAAAGTTCAAAGCTGAAAAACAAGTTCCGAGGTATATACCCTTCTTTTGCAGCTGAACAAAACAAAAAAAGGAAAGATGTTTTGGTTTACAAAACGTATGTCAACAAAATTTAAATCCGCCGGTCTACGCACTCTGAGCCGCCAAGCATTGCTGCCAGTTCGGGGAAGGTTTCCCCAAGAGCTTTGCATCTGAGAAAAAAGATACAAACACAGAAAACATTCATCCATCATTCAAATATTGCTCAGGATGAAGGTGATGAAGGTGATGCAGTGATGTTTTGCTTCATTTAAGAGTTTTGCGTTCATTCATTGGATTTTTGTTCACGTTTCTGGGAAGCAGACATGAGTTTCTACAATGCAACAAACTTCTCTGTGGACTGATTAGTGAAATTGTGGACTGCAAGGTACGGCAATATACAGAGGCTACTTAGCCCTGCACGCCATTGGTCATCAGGAAGCTGCCACCAACCCCCCTGTGAAGAAGCACAAGAGAAATGAGAATAGACCTGCATTAGTTTTGTCTTCTCACAAAGAATTATGTTGTGCCAGGTGCCACAAGAGACCATTGCCTGCCTCCTCCTTGAATTGAAGTCATGTGGATGGCCGGAGGCAAAAAGGCTCATCTTCAAGGGCCACTATCCCGAAATGTTTCCTATTAGGTTCACTGTTCTCAGCACAATCAAGGAAACAATAGCATACAGTAGCTACGTTCCTGCAAAATTGGAAGGGCAACACAACATCGATGGGCTCAACTGTGTCTGGGAAATCTCACAAACGTGCTGAATCTTCTTAAGCTCCTGACAAAGCACACGTCCTCTATGAATTAGCCACACACCTGAACTGCACATCAGTATTGAGTTGCTGGCAAGAAGCTGCCACCATGCGGTCCCAAGCCGGCCTGGGCTGACTCATAATGTTTTTCCAATGAAAAGTGGCCGCGCAAAGGGTTGACAAACTTCAACAAGCCAAGCTGCACATAAAAAAACGGATTGAGTTGCAGTTTGCCAGCGTCCTTGCTAGTTTGGTATCTCAGGCATGGAAGTAGGATCGTTGTTTTTCGCGTCACTCTGCGTAATGTGGGCCTCTTATTAATAAACCCCCCCCCCCCCCCCCCCCTTGATCAAGTGTGGGCCCCAAATAATGTGATTTCCAGAAAAAATCCTAGAAAATCTTGATTTGAATAGGAAAGGAAAGGCAAGGAAAGGAAAGGACAATGAAAGGAAAGGAAAGGAAAGGAAAGGAAAGGACAATGAAAGGAAAGGAAAGGAAAGGACAATGAAAGGAAAGCTCAGAATCAGCTTGGATGAATCAAGGTCTGGAAGCAGCTGAAAATCAAGGTCCAGAAAACATTTAGTACTATTTGAGGGCCATTTACAATTGATTTTTGAAAAGATTTAGTACTATTCACGGGCCATTTACTATTAGGAAGTCAACATTATTTTGCAAGGAGCAGCATCATTGTCTAAAGTATAAACAGTATAAACTAGCTACCACAAACGTCTTTTTCGATTGAGAGCGACCAGCAGCCCAAGTTAAGCAAGGAGTACAAAACGTTGGAAAACTGAATAGAAGATTTCAAGTCAAAAACCAGAAGGAGTTTGAAGTGTGGCTTGAAACTTGTTTGGGGTTGTAACACAAGTAGTTTCTTTGGACATCAAGTCCAAAAAACCAACGGAAGAGTGCAGGCACAGCGGGCACTTTTGCATGTTGGTTTAATTTCTCTTGAGTCGAATTCCAAAATGATTTATATAGAAACAGGACTGTGATGGCACCCAGAACGCCACCACCGTCACAGTCCTGTGTGAGACTCAGTGAGAAATTGGACACCAGGCAGGCTCCATGGGTGTCGCAGAGGAAAGAAGACAAAGCTACTCAGAGGCAGCGCACAAAGAGGAGAGTTGTGCTGTGCAAAATGTTCTGCGCGGCCACCGCTGCAATGCTCCATGATACACTCCCCTCCACCCCAGTGAGTTCTCAGCGCCAGGGGCCTGTCCCAGCTGAGTGGGCTAGGACTAGGAGGAGCTACCAGCAGCAAAGTGCTTTGAGCGCTACCAGCAATAGCCCCAATGCTTCACACCGGGCTCGCGATGCCTCCAACCTGGTAGCAATGGCCTCCACCTAGAAGGGATGCTCCACCCTAGTAGCGATGGCCTCCACCCTCATAGGTGGGAAAGACGACATAGGAACACCCCCCCCTCTGGCTTTCCGTGTGGCGCCTGCACCATCAGGACCGGTACAATAGCATCCACACGTCCGAAAGTTTGCCCTGGTGCTCAGGGGAGAGAAGCTCACACTTCACAAAGTCTGCAGAGGTCACGGACTCCGAGCCATCATTGGGGAGGATGGTACCCGCCAGGGCATCATCCACACAGAGGTCACGGTCTTGGCGCCATCGAGCATGGCCCAGTCAAAAAGCTCTCCAGAGTTGCCAGTTCCAGCCATGGCTATTTGAGTAGGAGAGTAGGAGAGCGAAAGCGGGCGTTTTCTTTTGGAGCCAGGCTTGAGCCAAAATGGCTAGGCATTTTGGCTAATGTAAAGTTCACGCAGTGCACTTAGGGTTGCAGCTTTTTCAAACTGTTTCATGCCCGACGCTTTCCCACTCGAGCTTCGGGCGGGCGTTCGCCTTGAGAAAAGGCGCGGCCGCGGCACCTCGTGCGGCGCCATCGTTTTCGACCTCTTCACGGACTTCGAGCGCCGTGCTCCCTTTTTCGCATTGGTAGCGGAGCCTCCTCCGGGGGGCTCCGAGTCCTTTGCGCGAAGAAGAACGAGGTTCTGCATAAGTCCTTTGTCGCGAACCCTTGGCCGAGCTCTTTTGTTTCCTCGTTGAAGAGCCCTATCGGTCTTGGCTACTTGAGCGAGAATGCCACCAACGACATCGGCTGCAGAGAGCTCCAAGGATGGGGACTACTCCACCCTGCGCGACTCCTTCGTTCCACTTTTCAGTGGCCAACCCCGGGACTACAAAGAGTATAGAAAGAGGCTGATGCTCTACCACCACAAGATGAAGATCAGCAAGCGCACAGCCGAATCTGTCCTGAACATCCTGGGAAGTTTTCAGGGTGTGGTGTGGCGGTTGTTTGAGGACTTCACAGTCGAAGAAGCTGAGAAGGAAGATGGCTTCGGAAAGATCATCTCCAAGCTCGACAAGAACTTCGAGTATGATGATCGAGTGCTCCTTCCGAACGACTTTGAGGAGTACTTCAACTTGCTGCAACGGAAGCCTCAACAAAGCCTCCTGTCCTTCGTCACGGACCATGACACCGCCTACCGTCGTTTGACCGCCCACAACGTGACCCTTCCTGGTCAGGTTCAAGGATGGCATCTACTCCGACGTGCTGCTTTGTCAAAGGAGCAACGCCAGATGGTGACATTGAAAGCTCCTACGTTGGAAAAGACCCCAGTCATCGAGGCCCTGTACCTGTTGTTCGGTCAGGACTACAAAGCTGGCGGATGGAATGCTGAACGTGATCGCAAGTTCAACCGCTGGAAGGGCCGCGGCTACGCTGCGTTCGATGACGAAGATGCCTACTGGTCCGAGCAACCTTGGCTGGAAGAGGCCTACTATGAGGCCGACGACTGGTATGATGACACTGCCCCTGACGCTGAGGCTGACTTCGACTATGACGCCATCTACTACGGCGACGATGATGACACGGGTGATCACAATGACGCACCTGAAGATCCTCAAGAGCTGGCAGAAGAATATGACCACGCCTATGCCACCTACTTGGATGCCCGGCAAAGATTCCAGCAACTCAAGTTGGCTCGTGGCTACCTGCCGATTGTCGCCCTCACTGATGGTCAGAACACCTCAGCCGCCTCTGGATCCTCTTCACCTTCGAAGGGAGCTGGCAAGAACAAAGGAAAGGGCAAGAACAAAAGCAAAGGAAAAGGAAAGAACGTGGTGCGCTACCCCTCCTCCTCAGGTGGGAAGTCAGATCCAAAAGGTCGTGCAAAGGCAACTACATGTCTTCGCTGTGGCCAACCAGGTCATTGGGCAGCTCAATGTCCACAAAGTGCGAAGCCTCCAGTCTCGCCCAACAAGAGACCTGCACCTACAGAAGGCATGGCCTTGCAGAATGAGACCGCCTTGGTCCTGTTCCAGGATGAGATGGGCACAGATCGACCTGACGCCACCATGTTGGATCCAGGTGCGTCGGCTTTCCTGTGCGGCTACGGTCCCTTTGGCCGCTACCTGAGCCATCTCCACTCCATGGACTACCCCATCAACACCATCCGCTTTGCTCGATGCGATCGCCAGTTCCATTTTGGCGGCGATGCTTCCTCAAGAGCATCATGGACAGTGGACCTTCCTGTGATGATCGACGGCCAGTTCGGCACGATTCAATGCTACTTGGTCCCTGGCAATACGCCAATGTTGATGGGCAGACCTGTGATTGAGGCCTTGCACATGGGCATCGACTTCAGCCAGAAGCGCATTCGCTTTGGTCGCTCTCCCTGGGCCTCAGTGCTTGTGGGAAGCCATGGCGAATACCTGTTGAGCCTCACCACCGGCATGGAAGAAGTGCCTGACCCCACGAAAGGAGGACTTCAACAAGCTCGAACACGTGTTCCAAGCTGAAGATATGACCTTGTCAGGTTGTGAACTGCAATCCACTCGTCTTCATCGACATGCCCTTCGAACCATGGAGACTCAGCTGGTCACGACATCCAACTCCACCGAAGCCTACATCACTCAGGAGCTTCACAATCCTCCTGACCATCGACGAGTCCTCTGCGAGATCTATTGTGGCAAAGCTCGCACTGGTCACATTGCAGAGGAACTTGGCATGAAGGTGGAAAGGTTTTCTCTGGACAATGGCTGGGACTTCAACCTCATCAGCCATCAACAACAGCTACTCCAACGACTCGATGAAGAAGAACCTGACGAAGTGTTAGCGGCACCAGAATGCCACCTATGGTCAAGAATGCAAACCTTGGCTTGCCGCACTCCTGCACAACAAGAAGCATTGAAAGCCCGTCGTGAGCACCACCATCGTCGTCATCTTTGCTTTGCCAAGCGCATCTACCTACGACAGGTGACCAGTGCACGGCATGCTCACTTGGAGCAGCCCCAGCATGCACTGAGCTGGAACACCACGGCTTTTCGAGATCTTCCTGGTTACTATGCCGACTTTGACCAATGCCGCTATGGAGCCATGTGCATGGACACCGACGGCATCTGGCGACCTGTCCAAAAGAGCACTCGCCTGCTGACCACGAAGCAGGCTGTTCTTGAAGCCTTTCAGTTGAAGTGTGACCATGATCACCACCACTGCCCTTTAGAAGGCTCTGCTCCTGGCTATGGACGCCGGACCACCTACTTGGAAGACTACCAACCTGGTTTTGCAGCAACTTTGGCTGCAGCCCTGGCTCGTCCCGAAGCTGCTCAACTGTGGGACACCGCTTATGTGGTCGACGAAACTGGCAAGAAGGAAACTGGACATCTCCTCAAGCTCAAGTCAGAGCACCGACAAGATGCTCTCCGAACAGTGCAGCGGCTTCACCGGAACCTTGGTCATCCAGCACCTGACGCTCTGGCTGACTTGTTGACCGCCAGAGGAGCTCATCCCACCGTGATCGCTGCTGCTAAGGAGTACAAGTGTGTGGCATGTCTGAAGCACAAGAAGCCCAACCAGGTTGCTCCATCATCCATGCCACAGCCCAAGACCTTCAATGAAGTGCTTCAGGCTGACGTCTTCTACCTCAAGCCAGCCGATCGCAAGTTTGCAGTGTTGAGCATAGTTGATGTTGGCACCAAGTTCATGGCAGCCTACCTGCTGCATGAGGAGACCTCCAAGTCCTACATCACCGCCCTGGAAAAGATGTGGGTTCGCCACTTTGGCCCTCCCAAGAAGTTGATCTCCGATGAAGGCCGACCCTGGCTTGGCGCACCGT